ACTAAAAGTCAAACATTAAAGTAATTCTGGAGCAGTTTCATCAGTATTATTCTATTTTCTGATCTATGTTCTAATGTTGGTTCCTCATCACAAACAGACCTGGAGTTGTATTTTGTTTCATTCACACGTTTAACACATAACCCCTGCATATTTAGGATGAGTTTTTCTCTCAAACAGAAATCACTCTGTTGTTCAGGAAGTGCTCCATTGTGTTTTCAAAGTCCATACACCTTCACTAGAATCATTGGGATAGTTTCAGTCTTGGAACTCTCGATCTCTTCTGAAAAAAAGGTAAAAAGTAGCTGTTAACTGATAATAAAGAGTAGAGCCCAACCGATATGGATTTTGTTGTGGCCGATATGAAACCGATATAATGGGAGTTGGATCTGCCGATAGCCGATATAATCACCGATATATTTAGTGTTGTAAAAATTCACTGTAAATCTTGAATTGTTTAAAAAACTTAGGTTTGGCTCTAGTGGATTCTAAATTGGGTTTATTTAGGCAACATTTATTGTTATTTTGACTCTTTACATCATATTTACATACAGTAGATTGGCCTAATGGCATTTTTGCATCACATTCTAGCTACTAGTGATGGGGATTCCAGTTTGTTTTTTTGTTTTTTTGGAGAACTGGCTCTTTTGGCTCGGCTCACTAAAGCAGCTGGCTCTTTCGGCTCCCAAGCGACTCTTGAGATTGTTTTGTTGCAAGCAGGACTGAAACCAAAACTGAACCAGGACTGAAAAAGGACTAAACCAGGACTAAAACAGATTTAAACCATGTGTAAAACAGGACTAAACCAGAACTGAACCAGAACTGAGTGTCGGGACTCGGTTTCTATCTCTCTCCTTCACTCGAGCCCAAGATTAGTCCTGGTTTATTAATTTTATGCTGAACTGCAGCCAAATATGCACTTTTTTTTATCCTATGCACACGCAGATTTCTGAAAGTTTCGTTTTCAGCCACTGCTGCTGTCAAACTACGGGTCTACATGCGATATGAAGAGAAAAAGTGAGAAAAAGAGAAAACACGGCTCCCAATAAGAAGCAGGCTCCCGTTGTTCGCTCAAAGAGCCGCTTCGATCGCGACCGACCCATAACTCCTAGCTAGTAAACTATCGCTATTAGCCTTTAGCCGTAAATGCGCACCGCGGTAGTTAATTATATGCATAAATGTGGATCATTCACACGTCTATTCACAGCTCATTTACATATCAATGCAGGTCCAGTAACAAATATACGGCCAATGTAATCACTTTACAATAGACCAATAGAAAACAGCCTGTTTATGTGCGGGAGCTACAGCAGCTAACCGCTAACAAAACCTAAACTAGCTTCAAAGTCGATGTATTTCCAACACTCAGCGCTCACACAGGCTCCTCCTCACATCACAAGTCTGCACTAATAAATGTCCTTTTAATCCAGACTCAAACCGATTGTCCGAAAAAGAATATAATCTCAATGTTGCGCACGGCTGCGGGTGTAAACAAACACACGCGAGTGAAGTGACGTCACTCTGGTGGTGTGTTCAGGGACAGTACGGACACAGACAAATTACACCGCAGATAAATACTGATGCGGAGCCACATATTAGGACATTTATCTGTCTGTAAATTGGATTAAATGAACATAATGTAGAGAGTCTAAGCTTTATAACGAGGTATAACATGCCCACGTGAAATATCGGCCCATATCAGCAAGCATATCGGCCGATAGCCGATATGTTTCCAGGTGCCCATATTGGCCGATAATATCGGCCAGCCGATATATCGGTCGGGCTCTAATAAAGAGTAAATCAAACATGTGTGAATGAAATAAAACGCAACTCCAGGTATGTTTTTGATGAGGTAACAACATTATAACATGTTTAAAAGCTCACAAGAGTCCATTTTCCATAATATAGGACCATGAACACACCTTTTTTTTCTCATTTTTTTATCACTTCTAATCAACTTTATTTCAAGAGCACATTTCACATTCACAAACAAAAGCAGTCGATAAGTTATGATTAAAACAAAGTACATATAGGGGCCCACACGCAAAAAGACACCCAAGCTATGTGAAAAATCGGATCGCCAATATTGACAGACATAGGCACACGTCCATATAAGGTCAAGTACAGCTCTGGCACAGTAAGTACAGTCCCAGAGCTGAGCAAACACATTCAAACACACAGTTAGGCTAATCCTCCAGTCAAACAAAACTGCAGCTATGTACTCTGAGAAGAACTTTGAAGTTTGTTTCACTATCATCAAGAAATCCCAGAATTTACTATAGCGAAAAACCAAATAATAGCAGGGTATACGTATTATGAATGCAAGAAAGATTTCCTTAAAGTGTACACTGTGAAGTAACATCTAAATTATTGCAGCAAGGTGCACTATGGGACTTTTCTGATAGTGTCCAGTGTCCACCACCTGCTTGTGTCCGTAGAGAATGAGGTGTTATCGCTTGCCAGGAATTAAACTTATCTATCTTGTGTTTTGTTTTGTTTTTTATGTAGGTTTTATTGCTAAAGAAATACCTTCATAAACAGTGAGGGGGGGCTCGCCTCTCCACAGATCTGACCTGTAACTTGGCCATGTTGACATCGCGTAGCTGTCACCATGGAAATAGATACATTTAATGCCATACTGTGACAAACAAAATAAATGTTACACAGTGTACCTTTAAAATAGCACAGTCACACACAAATGAAGATACTAGGCATGCACCGATATGGTACTGGTATCGAACATTGGCGTCGATACTAGAGGTGTGCAAATGTATCAAAATATCAATATATTGTATCGTTTAAGGTGATGATACAGTATTGAGACCATGGGCTGCTGTATCGACATATCGCCAAGAGTATTTTTGGTGCATTTTACTAAATTATTTTGTTACAAATTTACAGTTTTGTTGCTTGTTTAGAGGAAAGAAACTTGTTTATGCAAAATATTTGACATATTCACTGTTTTGATGATTAAAATGTTGTGTTTCATATTCATTTTGCACAAGACAGAGTATAATAAAGACTTTTAGTATCACAGCCATGATTTACCCTTTATTTTTTTACTGTATCGATTCGAATCGATTTGAACTATATCGTACTGAAAAGTTCAATGTATTAAGATATATATTGTATCGTGACCCATGTATTGAGATATGTATCGTATCGACATTTTCTTAATGATACCCAGCCCTAGTCGACACCGAAAAAAAAAAAAAAAATGCAGGCTCAGGTATCGGCTTCATAGTATCGGTCAGGCTGATGACCTGGTTGGGCCTTTAATTAGGTGTAGTAAGACTATTTACCTGAGCTGATTTACAGCCTGATTAAAGCCTTATAATGTCTGAACTTTTATTCACCCAAGCTGTTCACTGGTGATATGAAGGATAAATAATAGTTGCATAACACAATCTTTAGTGTAATTTAATGTCATGAGAATTCAAACTAATTAAGCCTAAATGTAAAGGGAAATGGAAATGGGTTGTCTTGAAAAAGCTCCAAACTTAATACAATTTTGATACCACTTTTTTTTTTCTGTCATTTTTAAAGATCCTATATTACACAAAATTGACTCTTGTGAGCTTTTAGCTATGTGTCTAACATGTTAGCTCCTCAAAAACATACCTGGAATTATGATTTGTTTCATTCACACAGGTTTGAGTCATCTTGCACTATTAGTTTGTCTACATCTCCAAAGCTCAATATGTTCTGTTCAACCTTGTGATGTACTTTTTGTTCAGTAGAGATTGAAAATTCCTGGGCTGAAACTACCCAAGTGAATCCAGTGATGGTGTACGGAGTTTAAAAACAAAGCAGAGCACTTCCTGTATTACTACGTGACATCACAAGGTGGAGCAGACTGTTTTCTGTTTGAGAGAAGTATTCAGAAGTCTTAAACATGTGCGAATGAAACAAAACACAACCCCTGGTTTGTTTTTGATAAGAAAACATGATCAGAAAAGAGTGTAATATGGTCCCTTTAAGACAAAATAACAGCAGTTTCAGTACCTCGTGGATGATACTTAAATACATAATAAGTTAATAATGTTTTAAGGAAATAAGAGATATGTTCTGTCCCTACACTGGTATTGGTTAATCATCTGTTAATAAGGAATAACAGCAATATCAGTATCAGAACTGAAAAAGCTGGACCGTTTTAAATACAGTAAACTATTTAGCACATAATCAACCAGCAATTTATCCAGCAAATGAAAAAAAACCACATTGCACACTGCATAGCTTCACAAATGAGATAAAAAATAAAAAAAAAAGCAAAATAAAAACTTGCTAAAGCATAAAACAAGCCCACTATTATTAGCCACTAACAACAATTTTATGATCACAATACAGTATCATGATTTATGGTTATGATTATTATGGTTATTATGATTATTATAATTATTATGATTAAAGTTAATCATTTATTTTTATGTAATTATTTTGGGCAAGTAAGCAATTTGCATTCTTTAAAAATCGAACAAAGTTTTATCCATGTAACATTAGCACCATCATAAGAAAAATAACAACAACAACAACAAAATTTGCCCAAAAAGGAGTGGGAAGAAGAAAATGTATTTAATCCCAGCCCCTCTTCTAATATTCAAAGTTAAGAAAATACACTGAATAAGCTACGAAAATGTACAACAACACCTTTCCGAGCGAGTCTACCTGTTTAAATGGACAACCCAGACAGTTATAAATAAATAAGGACACCCGGCGACGCGCACAGCAGTAAATACACGACAAAGAGCGTAAAATGCGTAAAGAAATGAGGTCGCGGCGATAACATGCACGATCACGTTAAGAAAACACAAGAATCCTGCTTAGGTTTGAGCTAAACCAGATGCTATCGAAGAAACAACGTGCAGCTAGCCCGTATGACACATCCCACTATGAGTAACCCTCCCGTGCCGCGAAGTGGAGCGGATAAACTTTTAGCCCCGCACTCGACGCTCCAAAAGCCCGATAAAGCTGCCCAAAAGCGGCGTAAAGTCCACGGAACCCACCTTGGAGAGTAGCCCGCGGTCAGATCGGCATAATTATATTGTCGCCTTCCATGGTTCCAGGGCTTTTTTTCGGAGCGGTGGTGTCTTCGGCTGTCGGGGAAACAGGAGACGGTCGGTCGGCTCGGGACGGGACGGGACTAGCGGTGCATGAGAGCAGAGTGGAGCCGGAGATGGAGGCGGTGGCGCGGGGAGGGGAGACGGGGAGAGCGCGCAGGGTGGAATTGGAGGAGCCGGGTGTCTGTCAAAAAAAGGGGGCGGGGTCAAGCGGTAAGAGGATATAAAGCAATCTGGGCTTTTACGGCTCATGAGCACGACTCATTTGGAGTATTATGGTGGTGTACAGAGTGACCCAAACACAAGATAGTCTGTTACATATTATTACAAAAGTGTGGTTATATATATTTTTTCACTTTTTACATTTACACTTAGCACGCTATTGTATAGGGAAGCCAAATTTTCAAAATAAAAAACTGAAACATCCCTGGTTTGGGTTGGTTGGTAGTGGCAGTGTTAGCAATTTGTGGGCCCTAGACGAACTTGAGCCTAGGGCCCCCATTATAATGCAATACTTTTTTTTTTTTTTGGTTTTGTTTTTTTATATATATATTTAGGCTACGTTTACACTGAAACGTATCACCGTATCAGAAATGATTTGCATTCAGACAGGTTGTTTCTGCTTCTGTCAGACTAAGACTATGTTCAGACTGCAGCCTGAAGTGACCCAAATCCGATTTTTTGGCCCCTATGTGACCTGTATCTCATCTTTTAATGACAGTCTGAATGACACAGATCAGATTTTTTCAAATGTGACCCAGGACACTTGGATATGTGCTCCTGAAACCGATACATATCCAATCTTTTGACATAGGACTTCAGTCTGAACGGTCAAAGTGAATTCATCCGACCTACACGTTATCAACAAGTCACAAACGTCACTATTCTGCGCTGAAGTAGACGAAAATTGTTAATGAACTCCGTGTCACTGAAGCAAAGCACATCACCACTCACCACTCTTGGCTCCGTTTCTGCATCCACACGTTCCTTTCAACGGACGTTGCTGCCGCTGTCCCACAAAACACCACGGCCAAAAACCTCGTCCTTCTCCTTCTCAATCTCCTCCTTAAAACAAGTAAGTTGTTCATTTTCTAGCTCCGGTACTTTAAGGAACTTTAAAATCTCCAGGTGCTCGATGTGTCCATGTTTGGACAACTTCCGTAAACACAGAGCACGCTCGCTGTGGATGACCTCATCGTGTCCTCCAGTGCACATGCGGGACACTTTCGGGCCGTTTACTGTTCAAACTGGGGTTCACATACAAGTAACATTTAATTGGAAATAATTTTTCACAAAAAAATCGGAACTGAGCATTAAGCCCTGCAGTCTGAACGTAGCCTAAAGGACACAACTGACCCAAACAAAAGATAGTCTGTTACATATTATTACAAAAGTGTGGTTATATATATTTTTTTTTCACTTTTTACATTTACACTTAACAGGCTATTGTATAAGGAAACCAAATTTTCAAAATAAAAAACTGGAACATCCCTGGTTTGGGTTGGTTGGCAGTGGCGGAGTTAGGAATTTGGGGGCCATGGGCGAATTTGACTTTGGGGCTCTCACTATAATGCACCGCCTTTTTTGGTTTAGTTTAGTTTTGTTTTTTGATATATTTAGGCTATGTTTACACTGAAATGAATCACCATATCACTGTATCAGAAACGATTTGCATCCAGACAGGTTGTTTCTGTGTCTGCAGGTTTTCCCTACCCACACAGCTTTGAGCATATTTGTTTATGTTTTACAGAAACGACACTTAAAACCGCATGGTTAATTTGCATAAACTGAGCGCTCAAAAACAGTTCCGCTATTGTGCGCTGATGCGGTTCAGCTTCTGTCAGACTAAAGGACGGGACTCAGTGGAATATGAGAGTTCTTGCTGTGACAGAGGGGTGTTCTGCTGATGGTGAGTCTGTTCTGTGCTTCTGTCACATTGGAGATGGTTCATGTGAAACTTTTCAGAGATTATATGTCTGCAGGTCACACGCATATACCGTATATATGAATGGACATATATTCTAGCCTCTTAGCATTTTGGTGGTGAATTACTTCACGGCACATAGACCTACATCAGCATGCTGGATCAGATCTGTACTCAGATGAATTCGTGGGAGCTGGCTGCACCAGGTCGTTCCATCTCTGGAGTTGTTTTCCATCGGATTAGTGTGGATGAACACTGCATCCACCCTGAAAACGACTCAACTATGTACTAGTGTGGATGAGGCCTTATTGTCTGTATTTTCCCCATTGTTCTTGAGACATGCACCTCTCTATTTATTTGAATTATGGTGGATTGGAAACTTGTCTTATTAGTTTGGAAGCCTACTAGATAACCAGAGCTGAAAGTAGTAAAATCTAATTTCTCTGAGGCGTTAAATCAGTCCTATTTGTATCTGTATATTTTATTTTGCTCAAACAATGAACTTGATTAAAAATAAATAAATCTGCCCCTCAGCCTTTTCAGCAGGTCTCAAACTATAATAAAAATACTTTTACTTTTCAGTCCTGTTAAAAAATGCAGTGAAGTAAAACACACAGATACTTACTCTAAGGCATAGTGAAATAAAAGTAAAAAGTATCCACTGTAAAATGTACTATATACAAATGGTTTTATAGTGCAAAAATACTGAGAAAAACAGGCATTCTGACAGTGAGTGGGGTCACCTCTCTGCAGATCTGACCTGTAACTTGGTCTTTTTTGGTCCCAGTGAAGATAGAAAGGTTTAATGCCATACTGTAAAACATTCTGGACAAAGCAATAACATCTCCATGAAGAAAAACACGTATTTTACATTTGACAGGCCCTCCACCAGAAAACTTACGCAATGTACCTTTAAACACAAACTAATTCCCAAAATAAGTCAAAACTTGTTATAGATGTTTTTTTTGTTGTTTTTTGCTTCTTTGGGGTTGTTTTTTTTTAATAACCACCCTTTGCTTTGATCGCAGCTTTGCACTTTTGGTTTTTCTTGACCTTGAGAAGCCACAGCTGTGAAGCTCTTTGAGGGAAGGCCAAGGTTTTGCAGTGCTATGCTTTGAGGAATTTGAAAATAAAATGCTTTTTTCCTTTTTTTTTTTTCTTTACCACATAATTCTATATATCTTACTACATATATTTGATGTCTTCAGTCGTAGTAGTAGTAGTAGTAGTAGTAAATATAAAAAAAATTCCCCAACAACTTCAGTGTTAATTTAAATAGAAAGAAGCTTGTAATTCTTAGTTTATTATAGGGCAGACATGTTATTGCTCTTAACTGGAAGAAAATGGAGAGACCCAGAGTAAACCAGTGGATTAAATACATGTCCAGCAATTTGGCACTGGAGAAGTTGAGCTGCATATCTAAAGGAGAACTTGAGGACTATACAGACATTCGGTTGCCCTTTTTGCGCATTGTAAAGAATTTTGACCTTTTGACATTTTAGAAGACAAAGGGATGCTGCCTTAGTCAGACTGGCGCCACCTAGTGTTTATTTATTTCTCTCCAGCGACTAGGTCAGGAATCAGAATACACTAGAAAGTTTGAAAGAACTCTGGAAGTGCAAGTTCGGGCACCAGCCAATTAGCGAAGAGCCATACATTCTGTGTTGTCAACGATTCCCAAGATCGAGGAGTTAAAATCGGAATAAAGAGAATCTTCCGTGAATTTTATCGAGGGGAAAGACGTTATTGCCCTTCTTCCTACGGGATTTGGGAAAAGCTTAATATACCAGTTAGCCCTGTTATTGGCGCATACGTAGCTACCAAATAGCAGCGATTGGTTAAATACAAAAGTACCGCTTACTGTCGAGGGAACGAATTCTTACACTGCGAGGTCAGACGGTTTCCACGAAGTGAAACTGGTTGATGAATCAGACTAATTCTGCCTTATTCTAGCCATTAAATCTGAGGAGTATTGTTACAACTACATTTTTGTAGTTTAGTGTGTGGTTGAGGTTAGATATTTCACTGAATTCACTTGTGATTGCACAAAAATGAAAACCTAATTCTCTCGGGGGAAAGGGTGGTTAAATGATTCCTTAATATTTACATTGTTGACATGCACATTCCAATATTTGTTTTCTTTTTTCAGTTTAGAGTCAAACAACATTCATTGTAATAAATGACATTCCTTGTTCTTGTAAAAAAAAAAAAAAAAAAAAAAAAAAAAGGATCTCCTCAATAAAAATGTACTATACTGCAGTGCAGTGTGAAGAGTAAATGAAGGACCAACCATCTTGTGTATAGGCTGAAACTTGACTCATGTTTTTATCTTCTCCTTGTATCTAATAAAAAGAATTAAACTACTGGAAAAAAAAAAATAAATAAATAAATAAATTGACATGAAATAATAATTCAAATTGAGTAAACTGTGTTTTAGGTAGGCGTATGTGAGTATTTCTTCTTTGTATAATGCCATTTTACATTTCAATATGTAAAATCTCAATTAAAAACATTTGTGAAAAAAAAATATATATATAAAGACAATGAATGTGAAGGTGTGTCCAAAGTTTGTCGTCTGTGGGAAAGAAACTGCTTTGCCTGGAATGTTCCTCAGTGTGGCTTATTTATTGCTTTATTTATTTGTTTGTTTGTTTATTTATCTATATTTTTTTTTATTTTTACATTTTAGTTAGTTTTTTTTTAAATATAATTTTTATAATTTGTATTATTATTATTATACATTTATTTATTATTCATTTATGTATTTATTTACAATTATTTATTTATCTGTTTTTTATTATTATTTTATTTTTTATTATTTTTATTATTATTTTATTTTTTGTATTTATTTATTTATTACTCATGTATTTATTTATTTACAATTATGTATGTATGTATGTATTTATTTATTTATTTATTCAAAATCACCACAAAACATTGACTTTAGAGCAGAATGTAAGAAGGGCTCACCTCTCCACAGATCTGACATGTAACTTGCTCTTGTTGACGTGGAGATAGGCGAGATGTTTAATGCTCTTCTGTGGAACATTCCAGACAACACACATGCATATTCCCAAACATGCATATACTAGGGCGTATGCAAAGAACAAATGAAAATGGTCATATTGTCCTTATTTGATTTTGAATTGGAATCATATTA